ATCTAACCACAAAATAAGTAAAAAAGAATTTAAGGAGATGAATTGAATTTTCAAAAAGTTAGATATGATAGACATCTGGAGAATATTGAATGGGAATGGAAAGGAGTATACTTAGTTCTCAACTGCGCATGCTACTACTTTTACAAAAATTGACCTTGTAGTAGGGTATACAAATTTCACAAATAAATGCAGAAAATAAAAAATATTAAATGCATCTTTTTCTGACTATAATGCAGCAAAACTACATTCAGTTAAAAAAGTACACACTTCCCCTGTACCACTTTGGTCTCTGGAGAGAGGAGACTCAATTTAGCCCAGTTTCTACATTGCACTGTTCCCACCAAGCCCATGTTGAAATGTTAAGTGAGAACTGGATGAGTTCTCATCTCAGCTTCTACTGGACTAGGGTCTCAAAAGTCATTCCCAAAGGTCACTCGCAGCTCTTGGGGTATTGATACCACACTGGCTCTGGAAACCAGACTCTAGGATGATGTCCCCTGATCTTTTAAACTCACAAGGTCTGAGGCTCCAATCTCCTTCACTTAAAAGGAAAAAGAATAAACGTAGAGGCCAAAAACTGAGGCCCTTTCATAGGGCCAAAGAGCCTTAAAGGGGAGATACCCCACTGGCCTCTCTTGTTATTGTCTCTTACTATGAGCAGAGTCTCCAAAGGAGACATAGGAAGTTACCGAAGTCTCACAGGCTTCTTTGAATGTCTTCATAGCCAACCAAAGAGCCTCCTCTTCAATACACGGCTAGCTAATCAGAGCCAATCAATCAATCAATAAACATTTAGAGTTACAGTTACAGAATATACATGCATCTTCTACAGTTTCTCCAAGACAATTCCATTTCATTTCTTCCTGAAGCAAGCTTCTTAGTCTTTTCTAGGTGGAGAGGCACCATCTGAGGCACTCGGTGCATGTGCCAGACTCCTATTACCCAAGGAAGACTGTAATTAAGGTATTTAATTCAAGGGAGATTGGGGACTTCTGATTACAATGTCACAGTATTATTTTTTAATTTCTGCAACAGAACTGAGGCCTTAGTGCCACATGCTTACAGACACCAAACAAACATCCCCGTAGTTGCAACTCTCAAGGAGTCTCACATGATTTCTTTCTCTCCACTTACACATTCCCTACACTAGGTCAGCACTTCGTCACTTCTCAGGTAGACTGCCGCGACAGTCTCTTACCTCTCCAATTTATGTTCCACAGGGATAATAGGTTGATTTCTTAAAGCACAGGTGTGACTATACATGTCACTCTCCTCTATAAGCTTTAGCATCTCCCTATTGTGTCTAGGATGAAATACACACTCGTTTGCTGCGCATTTAAATTCATTCACAGTCTAGCTCCAACCTCTATTTCCATAATGATTACACATCATCTTGCTGTTCCCTGTATCCAATATTCAGTCTCCTGCCTCTATACCTTGGCTCAGACTGTCCTGGGGTTGAATGCTTTCCTCACCTGTTTCTTGGAATCCATAGTTACTTTCAGGCCTTGGCTCAATTCAAGAGGTACAAGAGGACTTTCCTGAATCCCTCAGTTAGTGCCCTCCCTGCTCCCCCAAATTATTTTGTACATATGAAGGAGAGGGCTTATTTCTTCCCACAGGAACACCTGCTTTAACAGTGACACTATAAGAGGAAGTAGGAACTGAAGAGCCACTTAGGATGCTCTATCAGGTAAGACATGAGGTGGCACTGCCCGCCTCTGAGTAGGTAGTCCTGCCAAGCAGGACACTGTAGGTCTAGGTCCTAAATCTCTTTCAGTCCTTCTGTGAATGCACGGACAAGGCTTGTCTTTTTTGGAAAGGCTAGCTCCCGAGTGCCACTGCATACAAACAGATGGAAACTAACTGGGCCCACTTGCTTCAAGCCTCAGTACAGGGGTTTTTAAAGTGGAGTCAATCATCAGGGGTTCTGTGAACTTAGACAGAGAAAAAAATTACATCTTTATTTTCACTAACATTTCATTTCTAGTGTAATCCTATGTTATTTTATGAATTTAAAAACATTATTTTGAGAAGGGGTCACAAGCTTCACTAGCCTATCAAAGGGATGATGACACAAAAAAGGTTAAGACTCATGGTTTCTGTGTTTCACCCCAGGTTCTATCTAGTCTTTTATTAAGATATGAAAATTCCCATCAGTAGTTCATAATCTATTTGGCTTGTTTTGTCCTCATTCTCAAAGGAATTTAATGTTCCTCCCAAACTGCAAAGTACTTTTTTGGACTATTTAATGGTTTAGAGAACTCTCAATGAGGAAATTTCCTCTACTGATTCAGCTCACCCAATCAGCTTTAACTTGAAGTCTTAAAGAGAGTTGGTGGGGAACCTGAGAAGTTAAGTGACTCCCAGGGTCAAGGGCCCAAAAGGTCTACTCACTCAAATACCACATCAAATTTTACTGAATGAAATCAAGTAGAAGGAACAGCAATAGAAATCCTGAATTTTTGATAGCTCCTGGTGAGGTCTAAAATTTTAACTTTCCAGGAGTTTGACTATATGAAAAAAGAAACAAACAAAATAAACTTTGAGACTCCCTAACAGAGGGGCATCCTAGCAACGGCTCAAATCTTATCTCCCATTTCCAGTATGGTTGGGTATTTTCCAGGGAAACCTGAGTAACTTCCTAGCAAAGCAACTTTTAGTGCCCTGGTATTAAAAAATATATATACTTTTTAGTGAATGCATTTACTTCAGTAACATAACAAGTACAGTAGCCGCAAAGTATTTTTCCCCCAGCATACCTGAGGTACACTCTTCCACAAATGACACAGAGGAGGCCACAAACCTATAGTACAATGGTAATAAGGCACATGTGTGGGGAACATACAGGGCGAAGGATACTCACAACTCTAGAATGGCAGGGCCTCAAATAGCCTTCCTTTCTCTGGACAATTTTCATGAAGTTCTCAGCATCCTGTTTTTAAAGTTTCATGGAGAAAAGAAGAAGTTGTCCCGTCATCATCACACTCTTGGCTGGCAAGCCAGGCAAATCTGCCCACAAATACTTCACTGAAGTGCTTGGAGAAGGTGGTTGGGTGTCACCATATATCTATTTTTGATTGTGTCTCTGGCATCACTACTATGCAGGCTGCCAAGTCCTCATTATCAGAAGGCTTTTGGACCATATTTGAGTTGTGGATGCAGAAGAGTCAGAATCCCCAGAGATAAGTCAAGAGTTTCAGACATACACACACACACACACACACACACACACACACACACAGACAGAGCATCATCCTTTTTGAGGATTTCCATTGGAGCACATTTCTCCCATTTGGTCCTTTATAAAAACCTTTTTTTATTTCTGGAACTTAATGAAAATTAAAGGGGAAAATACTGAATCCTCATGACTTGCAAAGTGATGCAGCAGGTAGGTGTTACACACATACATGTGTATGTAGAAACTGGGGCAGCTAGGTGGCATAGTGTATAGAGTGCTGGGCCTTAAGTCAAGAAGACCTGGGTCCAAATTTGGCTTCAAACACTTACTAGCTATGTGACCCTGGGCAAGTCACCTATCCCTGTTTGCTTCAGTTTCCTCATTTGTAAAATCAACTGGAGAAGGAAATGGCAAATCACTCCAGTATCTGCCAAGAAAGCTCCAAATGGGTTACAAAGATTTGGACACGACTGAACAATGTTTATTCCTTCAAGAAGAATGTAAACTTTCCTTGAGGAAAGTGCCTGTTTCACTTTTCTTTTTGTATCTCGACCAGTCCTGCAATTTTATTGGTATAGGAACTCCTGAGAAGCAACTGGCCCTACCAAAGCAGATGGACACTTGCTCTGTGACTTACGATCTTAGAGCAGGGGTTTCACATATACCCATGATAATTTCAGGGAGTTCCTAAGTTCATCCCCTGAACTTGGATGGAGAAAAATGACACCTTTAATTTCATTAATTTCTAATTAAAATTTAACATTTCTTTCAATTATTTAAAAATATTATTCTGGGAAGGGGTCCATAGACTTCACCAGACTGCCAAAAGGGTCCATGGATTGCAGGAGTAGGGGAAAAGTTGGTGGCAACAGCAAAGAGAGGTTATAAGCGATCTCACCACAGTCAGTATTAATCAGAGGCATGACTTGAATTCTGATCTACCTGACTGGAGGATATTTCTTTATCCACTATGCCAAGCTGAACAGCACATAGAAGGCACTTAATAAAAGCTCAACTAGCTAGCATCTATACAGTGCTTACTTTACAACTTGACAACAACCCTGAGAGGTCTGCGCTATAATTATCCCCATTTTAAGGATGAGAAAACTGAAGGTAGGTGACTTGGGGGAGGATCACACAGCCAGTAAGTGTCTGAGGCCGAATTGGAACTCAGGTCTTTCAGACTCCAGGCCGGGCCCTCTATGCACTGGCTGTGAGAGTGCAGGGACTCCTAAAATCCTTCTTCGGTTGGGGCTCTGGCCGAACTGGGGGTCACAGTGGAACGCTTCTCCCATTTTTTCTTACCTCTGTCTTCTGTGTAGTTTGTATAATCAAGTGACTGCTAATAAAAAAATAGTAATTACGAGGTGCCCGGATGAATGCCCGGATGTCACCGATCCCTGAAGAGAAGAGGGCAGCGTCATGCCCAGGTACCAGACTGGAAGCTCGCCGAGGGCGGCGACAGTGTCGCAGCCAAACGTAAAGAACACAAAGGCCCCGAACACCAATCTGGCCCAGGATGTCGTGCCGGACTCGGGGGCCTCGGTCCAGTCCCTCTGTCCACCCCCCTGGGGGCCGTCACGAGGACGGGGCTTCAGGACACCCACGAGCTGGGCCCAGGGCTTTCGCTGCGCGAGGGGCCGGCCTGGACTGAGAAGCGCGGTCCTCGCCTCGTCGCATGCAGGGTAACCCTCCCGCCTCACACCCACCGTCCGAATTCCGCCCTCTGGGCCCTGCCCCGGGGCGTGGCCAGCGTGCCGACGTCATGGCCGCGCGCTGACGCGACCGGGGCGGGGTCGCTCCTGCGCCTAGTTCCAATATGGCGAGCGGCGGCGGTGGCGGCGGTGGCGGCAGCGGCGGTGCCGGGCCCGGGGCCGGAACCGGGGGCCGAGGGATGAGCGGCGCCCGTTGGGGCCGCGCGGGCCCCACCGCGCAGGAGAAGCTGCCCGTGCACGTGAGCGCGCGCCGTCCTTCCCTCCTGACCCGCCCTCCCCCCACCCCCCCGCCCGCATCCCAAGGGCACCCGCCTCCTCCCCCCCCCCCTGCCGCTCGTGCCCCGTGGCCCCCTCTCCTCACCCTTCCTGCACCCGGACCCGCCGAACCCTCTCTCTCTCTCGGCCGAGCCCCCTCCTCTCCCAGTGTCCTGCTTTTCACCTATCCCCCTGCGTAGCTCCCCACCGCATCCCTACTCTTCCCCTCCCCCCTGCACGTCCCCATTCGGGGATCCTTGTCTCTCCTCCCCAGTGTAGCCTTAACCCCTCGAGGTTCCCCCTTCTCGTCTTTCTCCCTTCCCAGCCTCCGAGACCCCCTTCCCCCACTGCACAGCTCCTCCCCAGCGCCTCATTCTCCCCTTTCCCCCTTGCACAGCGCCCCGTTCCTCCCTGTACCCCTGCTCAGCCCCTCCCTAGTGCCCAGTTCCTGTCTTCTTCCCCGGTAGACCCTCCGCATTGCCCCATTCTCACCTTCCTCCTTGCACAGCCCCCAGTGGCCCCATTTCTCTTCGTTTTCCTGCGAAGACCCCAAGTGTCCCTATTCTCCCCTCTCTGCAGAGCCCCGCCCCAGTGCTTCCATTCCTCTTTCCCCCTTGCACACCTCTCCCCAGTGCCCCTGTTCTTCCATCCTTTTTCTTCTGCACAGCCCATCCCCTGTGCTCCCATTTTCCCTTTCCTTCTTCTTTCCGTGCTCAGCCCCCCCAGCAACCTTGTCCTCCCCTCCCCCATACAGCCTCTTCCCAGTGCCCCATTCTCCCCATCCTCTCTGAACATCCCCTCTGTGTCCCCATTTACTTTTGCCCAGCACAGCCCCAGTACCCCCCCCCCAATTCTCTTAGCCCCCTTTTCCAACATCACACCTTCCTCTTCTCTGTTGGATGGGTTCCAGCTTTTGGCACAGCAGCCTTCCTAGCAGAGCCTCACTTCTCCCACTTGTGGTCTGTTGCCCCTTTCATTTCATTTCTACCTCCTTCCCCACTCTAAGTTGCCATTCTCTTCTCCCCAGGGTCCAGCCCCTAGTCTCACAACCTCATTCCATCCTTCAGATCCCAGCTGTCATCTCTCAGAGTTCTCCTGGGCTCATGTCTTAAGGCTCTAGCCTAATCCTCTTGCCCCTTGCACCAAGCTAGCTTCTTCACCCTCAAGGCCCATCCCTTCTCAAAGTTCAGCTCCTCTGCTCCAACACCAGTTACTCTTACCTCAAAGACCAGGCACAGTATTTCTCCCACTCACTCCCCCATCCCCGTCTCCTCACCTTTCAGTGGTTCCTTTCTCTATCCTCCCCCTTGGCTTCCATTTTCCCCAAATTGCTCTTGAAGGCCAAGATGCCTTCCTCCTTCCACAACCCCACTATGGATCTGCAGGTGGAGGATGCCCTCTCCTATCTGGATCAGGTGAAGATCCGATTTGGGAGTGACCCTGCCACCTACAATGGCTTCCTGGAGATCATGAAAGAGTTCAAGAGCCAAAGGTAATAATGCTGGAGTTCTTACGTGTTCTTACGGGAGGCATTGCCACTAGCTCAGTGTGGAGGAGCACAGGATGGAAAGCTGAAAGGGACTGGGGGACATCCAGTCCAGGTCAGTTTCTTCCTTTTAAAGATGGGGAAATGGAGACTTTGGTTAAGTCTGTTGCCCAAGGTCACACAGGTGGAGAGGCATCATGGGGTAGTGGGTAGTGTACTGAACTTGGGAGTCAAGAAGAAGCAAGTTCAAATCAAGCCTGAAATCCGTGCCAGCTGTGCATTCCTGGCCAGGTCACTGAAACGTTTCTAGCCTTAGTTTACTTCTTTGTAAAAAGAGGATACTGTTGCCTGGACAACCTTCCTCACTGTATGCAGAGTACTATGTGAATAACATTTGGGATCTGAAACCAGCTTCTGTGTTAAGAGCTAGAGCTAAAAAAAGAAAAGCAAAACCAATCCTTGCTTTCAGGGAGCTTACATTCTAATGGAAATGACAACATGTACATATATGCCTTTATGCTGGATACATACAAAGTACACACTAGACAGCTTTAGAGGGGAAGACCTTCTGAAGGAGGTGGGCAGCTTGAGCTGCTGTTGAAGGAAGCCAGGAATTCCAAAAGGAGAAGGTGAAGAGGGAAATTCCCATTCTAGACATGAAGATGGAGCATCATGTAGTAGTAATAGCTAGCCTCAAGGTTTGCCAAGTGCCGTTGGTGTTCTCTCATTTGACCCTCACAACTTTTTGAAGTAGGGGCTCTTATTCCCGTTTTACAGATGAGAAAACTGAGGCAGAAAGAGGTGAATCGACTTGCTAGGGTCACACACCTAATAAATGATTGAGTTGGGATTTGAGTTTAGCACTTCCCCACTGTGCCCCTTAGCTGCTATATGTGAAGAATAGCCAGGAGGCCTGCTGGCTTGAGCTTAAAGTCCCTGGAAGGTATGATCTGTCAGAAAGAGGAGAAGATAGGAAGGGTTCAGGTTGTGAGGAGGTTTAAATGGCAAACAGGAGTTTATATTTGGTCATTGAAGTAATGTGGAGCTTCTGGAGTTTGGGTTGGTGACCTGGTCAGACCTGCACTTTAGGAACACACTTTGTGGACTGTGGGTCAGAGCAGGGGACGTCTGGAGGCCGGCAGGCCAGTTAGCCTGGGGCAGGGGTGCTAAGCTGAGCTTTGTGGTAAAGGGAGGAGACCGGACTTTGACAGCCTTAGGAGCCCCTTCTAGTTCACCTTCGGTGTTCTAGAGGATGTTGACAAGCCTGTTGGCGTTTTGTTTTAGCCTGGTCTCCAGCCATCTACTGAGTTATCTTGGGAGGGGGATTAGGGAGAGAATTTCAGAGCAGAGGCCACCTTAGGATACCCATGGATTCTGGGAAAGATGTATGAGTGAGAAAATATTAAGTGTCTCCTGTGGACCAAGCACTGTACTAGACTCTGGGAATAAATATGCAAAAAGTGAGTCTTTGCCCACGAGCTTTCCAAGGGACGGGTGGCCAGGCAGGGGAGTTTTGTTCTCAGAAATCTCTGGGATTGTTCATGGAGCCATTGGGCAATTGCTTATCATGCCCTTTCCAGAAGCCAAGGTAGCATTGATTTGATAACTATTTGTAGAGCAGAAATTTTGTGAAACATGGTCTGGTATGAGTTAGATGAGTTTTCACTCACCAGTGGGGAGAGTGGGGTAGGTCTCAGGGGTCTGGTCTAGAAGGTGTGGAGTCCATGAGGAGAAGGGACAGTAAGTGTCTTTTTTTTTTTTTTGTTCTTTATTGCTGCCTTTACCATCCAGTTTGTGAAAAATGTACATTTCAGGGGCAGCTAGGTTGTGCAGTGGATAGAGCTCCGCCCCTGGATTCAGGAGGACCTGAGTTCAAATCCAGCCTCAGACACATAACACTTACTAGCTATGTGACCCTGGGCAAGTCACTTAACCCCATTGCCTAGCCAAAAAAAAAAAATATACATTCCAGAATTGGAGGTATTCCCCTATTCAGGGATCCTCATTGGTAAAACATGAGCTCTCCAAGAGGCTTTAAAGTGAATGCAGTTCAAATTAGCCAGCATTTTAAGCACTTAATACTTTTCAAGCACTGTGCTGGGCACCTGTGACACAAGACAAAACAGAAACAATCTGTCTGCAAGCATCGTACTGAGTAGTATAATGACAGCTTGTTTCTGTCATCCTTGAAGACTTATATTTTGCTTTTCTCATAATATCTCCGTGAAGTGTATGGAGTGTAAGCATGACCAGCCCCAATTAATAAAGAAGGAAATTGGCTGTGAGAAGTTAAAGAAATGACGTGTCCAAAGTCACATAGCTACTACATGTTGGAACTGGGATTTGACCTCGGGTCTTCTGTCGCCAGGTCCATGCAGTGCTTTTTTCTGCTCCTAGATGGCACTTGAGGGTGCTGAGGATGCTGGCTTGTATGTTCTAGGGGTGTTTATGGGCTTTGTGAGAGCTTCCTCCTCCCCTGCCAGGTGCCTCTCTGAAAGGAGAGAGATTTGCAGCAAGGTGGCCTTTAAGGGACATAAAATGTCAGAATTGGGGACTAGCTTAGAACGTAGAATACAGTATGTTAGAGCTGGAGGGGACCTTACTCCCCTCCATGCCTTCTGTGCTGTTCCTCCCATCAGACCTTCCTCTCCAGGCTGTAGGCCTTCTCCCCAGCTGTCCCTCCCTCATGCCTCCAACTCTCTCCCTCCTCATCTCCGCTTCCTGGCTTCCTTCAGGTCTCAGCTAAAGCCCCACCTTCTGCAAGAGGATCTTCTTGGTCGCCCTTAATGCTGGTGCCTGCTCTCTGAGGGTACCTCTAGCTTTGTCTGCACATAGTTTTTGTTTGCATATTGTCTCCCCATTAGACTGTGAGCTCTCTGAGGGCAGAGATCCTCTTTTACCTTTTTTTTGTGTTCCTGTTATTCAGCAGAGTGGCACATAATAAGTGCTTAATAAATGCCTTTTGGCTGACTGAGTGCCCTAGAACTAACTGGGAAAGCCCTTAGAACATTGATCACCAGAGCCTTTTCATTTGATTGATGATGATCAGGGGCCCAGGCAGGCCGAGTGGCTTGTCCAAAGTTGTCCAGAGCTCAGTTCTCTTGGATCTCAGTCTGTCTGTGTGGTGGGGCTTTGCCTTCTCAAGAGGGGAGAGAATAAGCATTTCTAGAGCACCTACTATGCGCCAGACACTGCACTAAGCACTTTTACAAATGTCATCCCTGTAACGGTTTCTGTTGTGGTTTTGCTTTAGTTTGGGTTTACCTTTTCTCATAGTAACTCTTTCTTTACAGTGTACAGGACATTCTGTCTCTTCCTCTGTTGTGTTTAGTCCCAAACTTGTGTGGTCAGGTGAACTGTCACACAGCAGGAAATCCTTTGGCCACTTTCTTAGAATCCAGCATATAGTGAGGAGCACTGTTCTGAACCCTTCCAGCCTGCCTCAGGGTTTGAAGTGGTTTGAGGTATTGGAGTGCTTTGGGACTCTGCAGCTTCCCATAGGTGTACACGGGATTGGCTCTCAGGGAGGGATGTTGCAGGATTGATCACAAGCTGGCTCTAGTCATGACGGCCTGGGCCTCTGCCCTCTGTTGGTGACTCCAGCGTGCCACTGGGGCCTGGGAGTGGCCACTCAGAGGACTGAGAGGACCTGGGACCCACCCGCCCAGGGCCTCAGAGATGGGACCAAGATCCAGCGCTCTCTGCCTGCTCGTCTCTGCAGTAGGTGGGCCCTTGGCACCTCTTGGTGTAGGTGAGGGCAAAGCACTAGAAGCTTAGGGGTAACTCACAGGCAGCTTGGTTGTCATGGAGAGTTCATCGCTTAATGCTCCTGCCCACCCCACTTCTTCTTGTTTTAGCATTGATACTCCTGGCGTCATCAGGCGAGTGTCTCAGCTCTTCCATGAACACCCTGACCTCATTGTTGGATTCAACGCTTTTCTTCCTCTGGGATACAGGATAGAAATCCCAAAGAATGGCAAGTTAAGCATTCAGTCCCCGTTGACAAGTCAGGTATGTTGAGATGGTTTGAGTGACTGAAGTGTATCCAAAATATGTGCATAGATTTACAAGAAGAACAGAACTGATTTCCAGCATATGTGAGTTGCTTTGATTGCAATTTAGAACACATTTTGCTACCTGGCCTCTGCTAATCAGTTTTGGTTCAAACTAAAATAGATGGAAACACCCACACAAGAAACCCAAAGCAGTCAGTTTTGAAAATCTAAATACTGGCTGGATGTTCTAGTTTGTAGCCTTCACATCATGGATTGATTCTTCAGAAATGTGTTTTTATTTTGAATAGAAAGGACTGTGCCAACAGCTGTTGGTAAATGATTTCATTTTGTAACTTCCTCTGTGAGGGCTTCAAGGAAACTTAAATATGTTTTCAGACCCATTCTATGTTGTAAAGATGTATTTAGGCAGATGTCTAATAAAATGTCCCTTCACGGCTGTGAGGTGACCCTAAGGCCTTGAAAACTATACCAGTTAGGCCCAGCTCCTTGGTACCACCTAACTAGGACCTGGAGATGAGGTCTGTTCACCCTCAGGAGATTGGCTACCAGGAGATTAATTTTTTTGCCCATAGCATTTTATGAAGACCATCTATTGGTCATGGAGGGATTTGGTAGAAGGAGATGTACAATGATTAAATCATAGTTTCTTTTTCTTTTTAAAGACTGAATCTCCTTTTCTTACCCAGGCTGGAGGTACAAAGATTGCTCATGGGCCTAATCCTACTACAGACCAGTGTAAGAGCTTTGACTGGCTCCCTGTGTTTCTGAGCTGTTCCTGGCCCATGCCCCCCTCCATCCCAGGGGTTCACCATATTAATGCCAGACTTAGTGTAGTCACCTGATCAGCTTAATCCATTTCAGCCCAGGGCTCCTGAGCTCCAGATCTGCCAGCCCCCGGCTCTGTGGTACCTGGGATTAACGATGTTCATCACAGTACCTGGCCTGGAAGTCTTAAAATTAAATATATGTAAAGCTTTGTTATATTTAAGTTGCTGGCACCTGCTCCTTGGGTGCAAGAAATGTGGTCCTACAGAGTGAAGATAAGTTTTGTTTGAGGATAGATTAGAAAGGACCTGGAGCATTCTGTCTATACCTGCCATTTACAGACACACCTGGTGCTGCAATGCCCACCTCCCATTCCTCCTCCTCCCGAGTCTTTGCAGGATCTGAGCTGGTAGAAAACCCTGTCCCGGTGCCTACATGGGATCGGGGTGCCCAGAGACAAAGAAAGGGGCATCTCAGCTGGGTGAGGTGGTCATTTAAGACAGTTGAAGAGGTGGGAATCAGAATTGTCTTTTTTAACAGCTTCTGTAAGGGCTTGTGTTCTAGGCAGCATTTAGGGCGAGAGCAGCTCAGTGTGGTGGAAAGAATGTGTGGCTAGGGGAGGGGAGCCCTCACCAGGCAGTGGCACATCAGGTCCCAGCTCTGTGATGTGCCCTGGATAAGTCAGCCTCTCTGACCTTTAGTTTACTCCTATGTCTTGTGGTGATGGTGCAATACTTGTACTTCACAGCATTGCTGTGAAGATCAAGTGAGACATAATTTATATCAAGCGTTTTATAAGGCTTAGGTTTAAAAGCTATTACTCTGTGACCTTGGCCAAGTCACTTCCCTCTCTGGGCCTTAGTTTCTTTCTCCATCTGTAAAAAGAGGGTTGGGTTAGATGATCTCTGAAAAATCTATCTTTCCAAGTTAAGGGGATAATTACAGAGAGAGTTATAAGGGTTAGTATTAAGGAAATGGGATGATGATGTGTATGGGGACAGAGGAGGAACGACTAGTGTTACTTTAGGTCAAAGATAGACTGGCATTTGCTATCATTGCTTCAGAAATCTGCTCCATTTTAAAAAGAAATTTGGAGGCACATGATTGTAGAATTATGAAGAGCTTTTAATTCATGTTTACAAACGGTAGTCCCAGAGTGCAGAGTTTGTACTTCTTAAAAAGAAATCATAGCTAGATTTATCTTGTGAGAAATTAGGATTTGAGAATAACGTGACTGGATTCATAAACTTAGCATTGGAGTACTCCCTCCATAGGTGTAGATTATGACCTACCCACATTCCCTCATATTTCATGACTTGTGTCTGTGTTCTCCACAGAGGACGATGGAATGTGCTGGAGACCTTTCTCTATGGCTTTACCATCTCGTGGAGCCCAGTTTGACTCTTCTTATTTGTCTTTGGCCCCTTTCTCTTGATGCATGACCTGCCCATCTCCTTATTTGATCGTACATTTTCTTTTTTTTTTTTTTTGGTGAGGCAGTCAGGGTTAAGTGACTTGCCCAGAGTCACACAACTAGGAAGTGTTATGTGTTTGAAGCTGGATTTGAACTCAGGAACTCCTGACTCCAAGGCCGGAGTTCTGTCCACTGCATCACCTAGCTGCCCCCTGTGCATTTTCTTAATGATGTCTTTTATTACTCGAGCTTGAGTAATTGTTGGTAATATTAAGCCTACACAAATTGACCATTTATGTCTCTTTGTGTTTCCTGCAACTTTGAGTCCGGGTGGTATCATTAGGAGAATATTGGTGTTAGAAAGATGGATTTCTCGGTTACGGAGCAGCATCTTGGACTGATTGAAAACCATCGTTTCTGAAATGCAGTTAGAGAGCCTACTCTCTTATTCAGCTTTGGGACCAATTTGTTATCTATTTGTAATGCTGCCCAAGATAGATATATAATGGATTTACACACTGCCTGTCCAATTGCATGTTATAATTTTGATCTACTTGATTTTTCCCATGTAAATTACTAGGCCTTTTTCTTTTGAATGGCAGTGGGCCTCTGAGCACGCACTGTGGTATGCTGTGGCTTGATAGCCATCAGCATATGTCATCTGCAAGTAGTATCTTGAGGCTTCATAATTTATAGGAAATCTCTTTTCGATTTGCACTTTGCATGATAAATCCATCATTATAGCGGTAAGTACCCTAAAGCCTTGTGTATTAGTGATTGTTGATGAGCAGAATTGTCTCTCTGGCCAACAAGGCATTTAATGTTGGTGCAGAGCCTCTAAGTTTACTTTTTGCTCTACTGTATCAACTACCTTTTTGTTATCAGCAAATAAGTACAGTAGGAATGTTGTATTTGCTATACACGTTGCAATTAATTGTGTGACTGAAGATGAGGTCCACCATAGAATATTGTCTGTGAAAGCCTGTCTGTTCTTTATCAGATTTTTACCAAGAACACTTCTAATGAACGTGAAGGTCATTCTCATGAGGATTTATCTGATAAATTCCAAGTTATTACTTGCTTTTATTTTCTTAGTTGCCTTTTTGGCGGTAATACATAAGATGCATGAGTTTTTTTTTTCCCCATTTTGGGAAGTTTCTTTCCCTTAAGAAACATCTTGGTGATTAGTCCCTTCATGCTTCACAAACGGTTTGGCCTCCTGAGTTCCTTCTGTGTTTTTCATCACTTCTAGCCATTCTTCCAGATGTCGCCTTCTTAAGTGTCACTCCTCCTTTCTTATGGAACACAACTGGATCTTAAGGTGTTACAGTCCAAAAGTGGTTCCAGTGTCATTAATTTTTTTAAGTCAATTTTATTTTATTTTTATAAAGTTCTGAGTTTTCTCTTTCACTCCTTCTCCGTTCCCATCTATTGAGAAGGCAAGAAAAACAAAATCTGTTACAAATATGTGTAGTTCATGTCCAAAAAAAAGAAAAGGTAAAAGAATGCTTCAGTCTGCAGTCTCTCTATCTGTAGGTAGATGTCATGTTTCATCTTGAGTCCTTTGGAATTGTGGGTGGTCATTGTATTGATCAGAGTTCTTCAGTTGATTATCTTTTTTTTTTTTTTTTTTTTTTGAGGCAGTTGGGATTAAGTGACTTGCCCAGGGTCACACCGATAGTGAGTATCATGTGTCTGAGGCCGGATTTGAACTCAGGTCCTCCTGACTCCAGGGCTGGTGTTCTATCCACTGCACTACCTAGCTGCCCCTTAAGTTGTTTATCTTTACATTATTGTTTTTATTGTATAAATTATTCTCTTGTTCTGCTCACTTCACTTTTCATCAGTTCATACAAATCTTCCCAAGTTTTTCCAAAACAGTCCTCTTTATTGTTTCTTTTTTTAATTTTAATTTTTTAAGCATAACTTTAAAATTCTTTTTTCAGTTCCAGATTCACTCCTTTTCCCTCCCCTTTTTACACACTCAGTGAGGAGGCAAGAAAAACAAAACCAATTACGAATATATGTAGTCATGCAAAACAAATTTCCACAATAGCTATGTTTCATAAAAAAAAGAAAAAGAAAGAAAAAATATGCTTCAGTCTTCCCTTTAGGTCCATTAGTTCTGTATCTGGACAAGGATAGCGCAATCCATCATGAGTCCTTTGGAATTGTGTTGGGTCATTGTGTTGAACAGAATTACTAAATCTTTCAGAGTTGATTATCTTTACAATATTGCTATTACTGTGTAGATTGTTCTGTTCTGCTCATTTCTCTTTGCATCAGTTAATACAGGTCTTTCTAGGTCTTTTTGAAACCATCCCCTTCATCATTTCTTACAGCACAATAATATTCCATCATATTTGTATATCACAAGTTGTTCAACCATTCTCCAGTTGATAGGCCTCGCCTCAGTTTCTAATTGTTTGCCACCACAAAAAGAACTTCTATTAATATTTTTGTATATGTGGGTCCTTTTTTTCTCTTTCTTTGATCTCTTTGGGGAATAACCTTGGTGGTATTGCTGGGTTAAAGTTATGCACAATTTTATAGCCCTTTGGGCCTAATTGCAAATTGCTTTCCAGAATGGTTGGATTAGTTCACAGTTCCACCACAGTGTATTAAAATACTTGTTTTTCCACAGCCCTTTCAGCATTTGTCATTTTCCGTTTTTGTCAGCTTAGCCAATCTGATGGGTGTGAAGGTGGCACCTCAGTTGTTTTAATTCGCATTTCTCTAATTATTAGTGATTTAGAGCATTTTTTTCACATGGCTATTGATAGCTTGGATTTCTTCCTATGAAAACTGTCTATTCA